ACTCGACTGATATAATACCCGCCGGCGGGGCGCTTCGCTGTAGGTAATTATCGGATGTACCACGCGGAGTGAGCCAGGCCTGCAATGGGCCAACTATCCGGCCGCCGGATATCCGGCTATCCGGCCTAGCAGCTGGCCGGATATCCGGTATCCGGTATCCGGCCAAACAACTATCCGTTTCATCTCTAATCTAAACATACAATTTGTATGTACCAATGACAACTACACACATCTAGTGACCTACTATGCGAATTCATGGATGAACGAGTCTTTCTTACAACGAAGTCAGTCGGTTACTGATAAAATAACATTTTGAATGTTAAATTATAAATGAATCATTGTGGTATTAAACCAGACAAAGATCTTTGTCTTGTTGAACTTGGATAAAATTGAGATGGAGAAATATAAAATACATAGATATAGTCAACAGCATATCAAACTACCACAAAATGAACTCTTAAACACATAAAACTTCAGAGTCAATTGAGAAATTGTATTTTTGGGTACGCTGTGTAAGCTGTACGGCTTGAGCAGCTGGTAATAAATTATACTAAAATCGTTGGTTGAGCTGAAAAGGAAGATTTAACTTACGCTAAATTGATATGCTAACAGAGTCAAGCGAGCCGAGGCTACATGTATATTTGTTAAAATATCAAAAATATATACGATACAACATTAACGCTATAAATATGTATATATTGCTGTTGTGCGCTATACATATCATTCTTCATTTTTTTGTATAATTATTTACTTCACACAGCACTGTATTCATAACAGAAAAGAACTGAAATATACTTCTATGTAAAAATAGGAAATGCATTACATACATAAGTTGCCAGAACCTGGCTATATTGTGCAGGTAACAACTATACATAAGTACAACACATATATCTATTACATAACGAGATTAGTAGCGGCTATAATTTAGTATTGGTATACTATGACCCTGTGCAGCAGTATATGGCATGGGCAAAATGGATGTAGGACCAATGAAAAGCCTTAGTGCCAATTAAATATCATTAATTCTGTAACTAAGGCTCTCCATTATCCTGTTAAACTTTTAAAGAAGACTTGAACGCCATTTAAAATATTTCTTACCCACTAATCCTTCATAACACAGATGTGCCCCTTTAACCTTCACCAGATCGGGCATATTTTCGGTAGTATTACCGAAATGTCCCCAATAAGAGGGAACAATGGGAAATTTTACCGGGAATATTCCCAACTTGGGGAATGTTTCCAATAACGGCACATCTCTAACACGTCAGCCTTATAAGTAGACAAATAGCTATAAGGAACTTAAAATACTAAAAAAACATGTAATGTTTACTAACACAGACAACGTCACGTGACGTAGTTGAAAAAGTACCCAAAATGTCAATATTTCTAGTGAAACTAGTACAGTTTTGACTCTTTCAACTATTTTTACGGCAGTAGTAGTAGTAAGCACTACAATATATTTGTACGCAAACCGTGGATATTTACGTTAGCAAGAACTCGCACGCATGTGAACCTTTCACTAGTTGTCTTCTATTGAATTTAGTTTTGTAAAACAATTATTGAGATAATTTCTTTGATCTTTGAGTAAGATTTTTGTACTGTGTTGTATGGCTTATTAAAAACATTTATTATAGTTGAAATCTTAAATGTATAAATAATATATTTTTTATGATAGGTCTCTTCAGGGACAAGACCTAGGTTTGTATTAATATAAGTGGATGAAATCACATGCGCGAAGTTGTCACTGTGACATTTACAACACAAAATTTACGCACACTACAAAACGTTATGAGTTCTATACATCTCTCTCACTCGTACTTCGTACAAGCGAGAGGCAGATACTTCGTAACATATCGTAGGTTTCAAACCAAAATAACGTATAAATAAAAATACGAGTAATGACATTAAATCCTTATTACTTGTGACATAATGACTATTCTACGATACCCGCATTTTTGATCCAGCGTAATTTTGGCTTGAATACGAATAATTGAAATTGTATTGTTTGGTAGAACTGTAACGTAAGGACTACTTGACCATACATTCGAGTTGTTTCTGTGACTTTTGTGACATACATACATTGTGGTGGACATATTTCAATAATATTTATACTATAATAAAATAGAATGTGCTAAAAACGCCTTTGGGTACCGCTAAAATATAATACAATTTACTTTTATATAAATACCGACCGTATACTGAAGTTGGGGCAATGATATTTAATCTCGTAATTATAAACAAAGTATAAACAAAGAACCATTTTTAAACGACTGTGCAAGAGAAGCTTTGAACATGTAGCCAGCACATTAAGCCACTTTGAAACATTGAAAAATAGGTATACTTGGTAATAAATGGTCCATCATCTAAACATTCTGTTTCAATCACTGATGTATCATTGTATCACTTATCAATCAATATCCTAACCCTAAGTAGAGCTGTTATACTTGACAAAAAACAGGATGTTTCATTGACTATGGCTTTTGAAGCATAAAGTTGCTGATATATCAACCTATCACAAAAATTAAGAATATCCCCAATTAATTTTAGACTTTTTCGTTTAAGATTTAAAGTTCCAAATACAGTGAGGAATTGGTGTTGGTAATTTTGTGGTAGGTTGACCTACCAGAGGCTATACATGGATGATTATTATACCTACAGCTATTGGTCCTTTTTCCTGCGTATCTTATACATAGCAAATAACTTTTTATTATTATTGTTGCGGATAGGAAATGCATTTGATGAGGTAATGTTTACAATCTAACACGGTATACATAATACACTAGCCAAATTCGTATGTCAGTGGGTGTGACTACGGCAGAGCTATGGAGGTTTTTAAAAGGCAAAAATAGCTGATGAACAAGTTATGTGGTAGTGTTACTGAATTTACCCATAAGAAATGACCTAACGTTCTAATGTTCATCTTAGGTATTGTTAAAAGACAAAGAGAGAAATAGAATAAAATAGCAAAAAGGTATTGTCCTATACTCAAATAGTCATACCCCACATCACATGAGACATGAAACATTTTAGGTTTTACAAAAACTATAGAAAATTAAATAGGAATTTAATTCAGAAATAATAACGCATATCAATCTGCTTCCATAACCAGCGGTAGTCACACGACCAATCACAAAAGTCACAGGCACCTCCTTCCAAAACTTATCGACTATCGACTCAGCGTGTCCTCCGAACTCCCCGACATCCTCCTACCGTTCCCTTCGTCCACCTCGTGATGCGTCCCGTTGCAATTCCCATTCACCACCTTGGCAGCCGGCGACGGCCTCTTCTTATACATTATGTCCCAAATGTGGTGCACGATTAAGTCAATAGCCACTGCAACAACGGAAAACGGACTTTAAGCCGAGGACTCAAGGTTATAATCGCAGCTACATAAGAGCATAGCCGCTGCAAGTGGGATGGTAAATGAGAATTGCTATCTGAGACCTCGTTGCAGTGGCTATGACCTTGTGACAGTTGCCTTCGGAACGTCTTCTATCTGATACACTTTTGTTTCTTGATTTCACTTTTACGTAATCGGTATAGATCGTGCTATCCACGAAGACGCGCCCCACCATTTTTCCGCTAATGTTTGATTGTTATCGGTACCACAGAATAATAATAAGTACTACGTACAGAAGTTTTACTTCGCGAAGGTATTTAAAAAAATGTATGCTCAATGTCATTAACAATATGGTGTATAGTTCCAAAATACTGGACTGTCCTGTCGATGACATTGACAGTGGGGCGCCACCGTCAATACCGGATCGCTGGTTCAGATTTTTGCCATGTTGGAAACCATATAGTTGAACGATGGTAGCGCCCCCCTGTCATTGAGTTTGGCGGGACAGTTCAGCGTNGTTTAAACAACTATTACACATACACACGATACGATTATATCATGCCTTTCATGGTATCCCAGAACAAAATACTTACGTAAAGAAACAGGCAAAGCCTAGTTTTATTTGGAAATGCATACGTGAATCAACATTGTTGAGCGATAACAAATATGATACAGCTTTTAAGACACGTTGTTGTATGATTCATATTAGGCCGGAAAACGGATGTATTCCAATAGAGCACTCGCCCAAATAGCACCTGCACGAATAGCACCTGGCCTATTCCACTTACAGCACCTATCGATATTTTGGGCAGGCGCTATGGCTAATGGTAGCCTAGTTCTGGCTACTAATGTATTTAAGAAGAATAAGCATAAGAAGATATAATATGTATGTATAGTTGTATTGTAGGTGCTACTTGTGAACAAAAATATAAAAAATAATTTTAAATCCTCGAATAGCACTTGTTCAAAATATCGATAGGTGCTCTAAGCGGAATAGGCCAGGTGCTATTTGGGCGTGTGCTCTAAGTGGTATACGTCGAAAAACGTAAGGTTGTTACAGCTATGAAAACAGGGAAAATAGGAAAAGACCATCTCTACAATTCCATTGGTTTCGTAAGGCGACTAAGGAATAAATATACGAACATCCAACCCGTCTGGCCAGCGTGGGGAGTGTAGGCCAAATCCTCCATTAGCCTCTGGTACATTAGAGAGGGTCGTGTTCCTGCAATGGAGACTAAATGACCTGATGATGAAGTACTTTTCGAGTTTTAGCTATTAGTTAAACGTTTAGGCGCGATTGGTCCAATTCGCAATTGGTACAATCGTGAAAAATTCACAAATTCGCGATTAGTCCAATTCGCGATTGGTCCAATTCGAGATTGGTCCAATTCACTATTGGGCCAATTCGCTATTGGGCCAATTCGCGATTGGTCCAATTCGTAATTGGTCCAAATTAGAAGGATATCCAAAATGAAAGAAATAAGGAGGTTATTCAACTTTTACTATTATTGCAGAAAAAAGGGAATTGGTCCAATTACGAATTGTTAAATACTGTTGAGTTTCCAATTTCACAGTAATTTACTAATCTTTAATTTAGGTATTATATCAACCAAATACTTGAAATCTTTGTATTACAACACAAAATAAACTACAGAAACTGCACAGTCTTGTACTTATGTGTTTGAATAAGTGAAAACTAAGTGTACGGTGTACAGTGGACAAACAGTGTGACGTCAGATAGTTTAAAGTTGACAATGACGAAACATAACGACAAGAAGAGCAGTCTGCTATGCTGGTAAGTTCCACTGTTCCAGCAAAAACAGTCTAATGCATCGACAATAAAGATCATTTTTAATCACAACGGCGAAGCACATCAGAACCAATTCTGCATTTATCCTTGCCTTTATGAAAATCTAGTTCTTTTCCTTTTCTAAAATCTTCAATAATGCCTTTCCGATACAGACATTTGAAATTTTGTGACGTCATTTTTGTTAAACAAAACATGTGTGACATGACGTCACTACTATACACGCCCCCGTACTTACTAGTTCGGGACTCATGCAGCGAAATAAATATGTACCAATTAAATTACATTGTTAAATTAAAACCAAAATAACGTAGTAATATTTGTAATTCGTTCAAGCAATTATTACCTTTCAATTTGCAATTACACGTTTATTCTTTACTGATATTCTACTTTGTAAAAATAGTATGTAGAAAACATTAAATTATAAAATTTCGCATCACCGTAATGTATACCACGTGTTCCCTTAGATTCATCAACTAAATCAATCACTGTACTATTTGATTTATCGTGCACCAAACAGAAACGTAATAAAGTGTGTTTTACGATAAGGTTACTTTTGTGTGATAAAAAAGGTTTTTAATATAATTATGCGAATGTAGGTATGTTTGAACAATGGGACAGCATATGAAATAATCAATTTTTGGTGCTTATTAGGCCCTTTTAACTCTACCTAAGGTACCGCAGTGCGTAGCTGGATGTGGCAATGTTTTTAACCACTGAAGTATGATCATACTTATGTATTTTTTTTAGTAAGCAATTGCACAAATAACTAATAGTCCCGTTATCCCCTCGTGGCAAGCGTTACGAGTGGGTTCACCGCAACAAAACTCATTTATTATTTTTGCAAGTACGCTTTTAAAAAGCACTTTTACACGTCCCAGTATTAACCCTACCACTGCTTAGGGACTAGGAAATAGTCGAGCGGTTCGACCCAGCTGCAGTGTTCCTCGGATCTCGAGTCGGCCAGTCCCACACCTTCACCGTTGGGTTTTACCTTTAATTGGAACCGTCGCGTATTTTCTTTTACTAATGAATTTTTTCTTTGTTACAGTTCGGGGCTTATGTCATCATCCATTGAGGAGGTAAGTTTTTAAAAATGTATTTTGCCCTACAAATTTTAGAAAAATAAGCAATTAAATATGTTATTGAAATACATAAACATAGGAACCCTAAGCATAAAGCTGTACCTACCTACTCTTCTAGTTTTTACATAATGATGAAGATAGCAACTTCAAAAAATCTTACCCCAGCAATGAGTTTCCTACTTATCCACTTACTACCATGCCAACTTTACTTTCGATATCATTCAAAAGCGCGTTAAAAGAATTCCATTTAGCTGAAACGGATGTCGCGCGTGATGCGAGACAAATGCTGCTGCGCCCGCGCATCTGGTTCGGATTTGTAGAGCTGGTGATGCTTAGATAGGGCACGGGACTATTCCCACCTCTCGTTCCCACCACTGCAACTCCTGTGTAGCCAGGATCTACAGCTTGACCGCTATAAAAACCCAACCAATGAAGCTTAGATAGGGCAGTGAAAACGATGTTTCCGGCTATTGGGACCGCGGTCCCAGTCCCTGGATCCATAAAAAAATAAAGTTTTTCTTCCAGCTATTAGGACCACTCTCTAGATAACTTAAAAAATATCCAGTCCAGTTGTAATCCAGTGTTCTCGCAATTTATCTCAAACGCTACAAAAAGGGGATTAGGTATTTCCATCATGTCAGATGCAGGCCACAATCTTCGCCGTAGTGGTCAAAAAACCTACGTCAAGTCTAGAAATACATAGACCTATGTACACAACTCGTGCGCCGTTTGTCTGAATTAGAATTTGACGCGTCCGCGGTACAACTCCTTTGTTTTGCCGCCACGTTTGACAGGCGTTATTAATTTCTCCGTGTTTTCTCTGTGTTACACTACAGTTATGTAATGGTTACATGTGACTTACGTCTGTTTTGAAACTAAAGAAATCATTGCAATGTTTTTAGTTTTCTTCTTCCATCGCGTAGAGATGTAGCAAATGTAATCATAACCTTAAACTTTTTAGGAAAACAAGAAAAGCTTATACTTTTCTAAAGCATGGAATTATCTTTATTTATTTTATTTGACCATATAATAAAAACAGAATTCAAATACACAGAGTCCGCTAACTTGAATACTATACCCAGTTTTTGCTATCTTTCGTTCGTTCGTTTCAGCCGAATGACGTCCACTGCTGGACAAAGACCTCCCCCAAGGATTTCCACAAAGACCGGTCCTGCGCCGTCCGCAACCAGGCACTTCCCGCGACCTTCACCAGATCGTCAGTCCCACTCGTGATTATCTTAAACTTTTAGAAGACAGGCTTTTCCGAATGCAGAATACAATATTAGGAAAAAGGGTTATCTAAAATAACTCAAAGGTGACTGACATAGTGATCTATCAACGCACAGCCCAAACCCCTGAACGGGTCGGGCTGAAATTTGGCATGCAGGTAGATATTATGACGTAGGCATCCGCTAAGAAAGGATTTTACGAAACTCCACCCCTAAGGGGGTAAAACGGGTACCACGCGTACGAAGTCGCGGGCGGCTGCTAGTTAATATATAAACCTAATGCGTGTATGGTGTTTCCTGCCATAATCCCGTTGTCACACTGACAAGGAGTTATGGCGTCCTAAAACTGTACGGATCAGGTGGTTCCCCGCTTCCTGTGCTATGGACAGTCCTTTAGGGTTCCGTGGTCAGTGGAATAAAACCTTATTTCAAAATCAAAAATCAAAATCAAAAATGTTTGATTCAATTTTGACCACAAGTGGCACTTATGAACGTCAAAAAACAGAAAAAGAAAGGTGAGGGGCACTTTACATGTCTCAATTATCGTTTGGGCCCTACCAGCGCTTCGAGACAAACATATTATGGCTAGTTCTGAGAAGAAGCGCCGGAACAAACTCAGTCACCGCTAATTGCCAGGAATTATCTAACGGTATGAATAACCAAATTCAAGTACATCAAATATGTGCAGACTGAACTGTCCACGCATCCTTGTTATCATCGAACCTTGTAGTAAATACTGGTAAATACCCTTTGTTGGACAGAGGACAAAATTTTTCACAGTTCTTACAAAGAGTAAGATAGAGTTAAGTTTAGAAAGTACTTACTAACTTGTGTGGTTATTTCTAAAGTCATAAAAATCATACATTTTCCGCCATAAGGCTTTGAAAAAGCGCTTTTACAATGGTGGTAGTGGTCTAGAAAGATATTTTCTTCCGCCCATCATGGGGACTAGCATTGCTTTCACCAATGCTTATTAGACAAAAAGACGACGGAACCCTCGAATTTATTAGGAATATACGAGTATAGGAAAACACGTTTTGTGTGTAGTACCTAAGTATTTCCGAATATTGTCAAAGGAACATTGTCAACCAATTTGATGCATCCTGCTTAGGAATCGTAAGGAAATGAGTTATCTTTGACAGGATCCGATCTTTAACTGCTTAAAAATCTATGTTTTGTGCCTAAATGAAAGGATAATGAAGCTAGGAGTCTCAAATTTTGCATGGGGGTTTCTTTTAGAACTTAGGTGCTCACTAAGACGGGATTTTGCAAAATTCAACTCATAAAAGGGGGTAAAACGGGATCCACTCGTACGAAGTCGCGGGCGGCCGCTAGTAGGTATAACAAAACTTCAGAAGTCACTTCTTCTATTGGTTATCTGAAGAATTTATTTCTCAACATTCTGGTCTGCCAACAGTTAATAAATAATTATAATTTATTTCGATCCCAGAGCCATAAAATAAAAAAGTGTGCACTAAAAAGTATCCAAAGAAAAACGCTCTAATAAATGATTCGGCACCATAATATTTTAACGACTCATCTTTTATTATGAAAACGTATCGTCAACTTCAAAGTTGATTAGTATGTTTAGTGATGCGCCGTTCGATACTTTCACGAATACGAATTTGTTTAGTTGATACTAGTCCCGTACTAGGTGGACCTCCGATCTGGTGAAGATCGCGGGAGGTGCCTAGATGCGGGTGGCGCAGGACCGGTCGTTATGGAAATCCTTGGGGAGGCCTTTGTTCAGCAATGGACGTCATTTGGCTGAAACCAATGACTGGCAAATTAAAGTCGTGTTCCTGCAGTGGGGATTTAATAACCTAATGTTGAAATCGAATACAGGATTTCAGGATGGAAAGAATCTGACTTTCTAAGCAGTAAACTTGTGGAAAATCAATCTCGTGACTGTTTTTCATGACTGTGTATTTGAAGTGTTAACCCACTCTTCACACTGAAAACTATATCAAATTATAATTCAATAATAAATAAATAAATAAATACATAACAGTGCTACATCAAGTTGAAATGGCGCGTTACGTCACTCTTGAGTAGAATTTTTACTCAAAAGTGACGTCAAGCGACATTTCTACTTAATATAGTAATACTGTAATTATTCGATTATGAAAAAAATTCAAAAATATGTGTCCAATATTTTTAACTACAAAATTTTTGACTAAATAGAATTTCGATTTCATTACCCAGTCATCATCCCTATTATATACGAATTTTCCTTTTCATATTATTCATTTTAACTATATTCGTAAGTCCTATTCGTGATCGTTACATCACTAGTTTTATTTTAAACCCTTTTCATTTGTTTGAGAATTCTTTCTTCGTTTAGTCAATTAGAAAGGTAAACTATAGTGACACGATGTGCTTTTACGTCCAACGGAAATTGGATCTAATAATAAATGCGGGTTTGTCTATACTGCTTGATGTTGGACTCTTCTCTTTTTAATTTGACTTTCCAAGTAGAATTTTTACTTCTCTCCCTTTTTGATTATTAAAATTAAATATTATTATTCTTTGAGGGTAGACGTATGAGTTACATTTACCTACTTTCTTCCGTATCTCTCCCGATCAAAACATGTTAAAGATTAATGATAAAAAAGTCCACCCACAAGGTGGACGGACAACTTCATAAAGGTAGCAGGAAGGCGCTGGATGCAGGCCGCTACCAACCGGGCGATGAAGAAGTCATTGGGGGAGGCCTATGTTCAGCAGTGGACGTCCTGTGGCTGAAATTATGATGATGATAAATGATAAAAACAATCTCTGAAATCTCCATATACCGTAGTCGGTTGCAAGTGTTGCAACATTTCTATATTAAAATATTCGATGTACTGCTAAGCCAATATCAATATAGATAATTCGGAAATGTTGACATTACGTATCTTATCAACGCACGGTATCAACTTATCAGTTAATGTAAGCTTTGTATTAATACATCCGTTAACTTGTCTGAACTCTGAATTTCTGAAATCATAGTTGAAGGGCGGAGTTCGCTAATAGATGGTAACTAAATAAATAAATAAATAATTGCAACAATCGATTTAACCGTAGTTCTTTTTTAAACAATGATAAATGTTGATAAATGCAGAATGAAAGTAGTAAAGCAGTGGTAGGGTCGTTGCTAAAATATTAGGGCATGTAAAGGTGTTATTCAAAAGCTAATTTTTACGGAAAAAAGTTTTAAGAATGTCGAGTTAAAGTGGATCTTGTAGCGCGTACTAAACTAGAACTATTTTTTTAACTGCATATTTGGACAAAATGAAGCCCAAGGTGTAAATTCTTTTTCATTCTTTTCTAACTCATTTTTGCTAAAATCAGCATTGTGCCGGTATTGCATTCAGTGAGCGATATATCTCTGTAACTGTGGATGAAATTGCGGTAAAAAAATATACGTATGTCTGTTTATGCCTCAATAAAACAATTTTCAGAATCGGATTACTAATCCAATTCTCAAACATAAAATTACAAACAAAAACAAGTTTAATTACAACCATTTATTGCTCTGTTGTTTGTATACAATCGGAAGTTATCAAAATGTTTCAAATTCTTTAAAAAAGCGTCAGAAGCGAAGGCAATGAAACTTACGTCCTTATTCACAAACGATGTTTTTATATTTTATTTTATGCATAACAAGGCAGTTATTTTACCTTAATCACACCTGATGTTAAGTGGGATGCAGTCTAGGGTGGTACATATCTGCCCTGTAAGTGCCTATTCACTCTCGCCTTGAAAAGGCCCGGATTATAGTCTTCG